TGAGGTACCATCGGAATGACAGCTGCTGGTGGTGTAATGGCATTTGAATGCATACCCAGGTCGATTCTCACAGCAAAGTCGCGACGTGAGTCCCGGAAAAAGTCATGGCGTGAACGCGTAACGCGATCGCTATTGGACTCACGAAAAATGTCCCGATTTTCGCGATCACTATAAACCCACCATGAAAAGGGATTTTTCCAATCCACTCGCAAAACTCACTATGTGACTCCCGCTGTTGCTGCTTAAGTCCCATATTTTTCCCAATATTTGGACGTGAGTCCTTATTCTTGCGGTGCGACCCACGAAGTCGCAACGTGAGTCCCGTTTTTTATCACAAATTCAGCGCGACTAGCTGTTCTCGCGGCATGACTCCGCGACGTGACTAAGCAGAGAGTCACGATTTTTCTTCAGCAAGACTCTTATAGCGACTTTTACTTAATCGCGCTTGTGTTTTTCTGCTGCTCCTTGCAGTGCTTGTTCGATTTTGAGGTTTTCTGTCTGAACAGGGCTTGTATATAGGATTTTTATTTATTTTTCAGGTTTTCTAAATGAAAACAATTTTTAGAAGTTATTTTTAAGGGTTTCTCTTTTCTCAAACTCATATTTCAGTTGCTCGACTCCGATTCGACGCAGAAAAGATACTCGGTTGATCAGCTGCAAAGTGCGCAGACCTGCTTCCGTGAGTTTAATTTCCATAAGGCAACGCCTGCCGTATGTGAAGAAAACATTCACGCTTGAACTTCAGAGAATGCGTATTCGTAAATACTAGACGCTAATATCAGTTCGTTGCTAGAGCCAATCTAGCATCCCGTGAATGAGGCGGAATGGCTTAGCCCCAATCATCTCTGCGTCAAACAGGACCGAAATGATATTCGCTACATCTTGAAAGTCACCAACGACCAAGTGATCTTACACCGAGGATACTCACGATTGCGATGACATCAACCTTTGATGCATTTCTCACTTTGGTGCATTTTTATTTTGAGACCTTGCAAAGTTAAAATATTTAGCGAAGTTGTAGATAGTAGAAGTCGGTTTTGGTATCCAGAATAGTTAAACAAAAAGATTTCAACTTTGTGACAACAAAAGTGAAAAGGATTTATGTTTCCATACTCCTTCGTTCATTAAAATCGCTGTGTACTTACTTTGTATATTCCTTATTTTTCCATGTGCTGCCCTCTTGAAAAAGTGAAAAAAGCAGATATAAACTGCAAAAAAATCGAGCGTAAATATAGTCTACACACTACGTTAAGAAAATATGAAGTGTCTTGTGTATAACGGACACTGATTTTTTTTGTATATCTCATTTAAATGAGAATAACAAAACACATATCTATGATCACACACGTGTCTATAGACACATAGTATATACTATTTATGTTATAAACAGAATGTGGACTATCTGGTGGTATGGCCAACGGCAAAAAGTGCTTCCTTTTGTGCACTTTTAGGCGTTTTTTTGGGGCAAGATTTCGCGAGCCCAGAGATATCGCAATCAATAATTATCCATTCAAAATAAATTTGAGCATCGGCAATCAAAATGCTCTAGACTACACTAGCGCTTTAAATAGATGTAGAGTCTGTGCATCCATTCAAATCACTAATGCAGTCTAAGAGCATTTTGAATTGCCGATGCTCAAATTTATTTTGAATGGATAATTATTGATTGCGATATCTCTGGGCTCGCGAAATCTTGCCCCAAAAAACCGCTTAATGGATGACGTTATTCAGCCCTTGGCCGTATAATCAATCTATTTGTATACGAAATATACACTAAATTCTCACTTTGAAATAAGAGAAAACAAATTCTTTTTCGTTCTTGCAATTCAAAAAAAATTACTAACGATATCCACCAATAAAATTCCGTGACGTGAGTCGCGTCGCGAAATAGCGATATGGTAGTGATCGCACTAAGAAGAGCTATATTGAAAACTATATTGAATGATGTTGCGTTAGCAGACCGGCATGTCTTTCTGGATGGATATTCTACAACATCTAGCAGCAGGAGAAACTGAAAGACAGCAAAAATGATATTCGATATTGCTCATTGTCCATAGACTGACCCTAAAAATGCATTTTTTTCTCTTTTTTACTAAAAGTGTTTGCTTCATATAATCGCTCAGAGTGAACAATACTCTCTCGTCGCGTAAAAGTAGATAGGCTATTAACTTGATCTTGTTTTCATCTTTACACATGTGACGTAACAAAAAAGATATTATCAAAGAAACATAAGTGCAAGTCTTTCTTAACATCACTGATTTTTACAAATAATTCAAACGACCCCTTTGTAAACGTCGTAAAATAAGTCCCAGACGAGTTAAAACACGATGTAGCGCTTCAGCAACTGTTACTTGTAATTGTCGTTGCCCTTGTTGCTTTTGTCTTCTCAATAAATTCAATGCGAGCAGAAATCGACGACTACACATACATTAAATGGGCAGCTTGTACAATCATTACAGTACCAACTGAGTGATTGTTTTGAAAGTGTACGAGAAATTACATCGACTTTATGCTAGCAGTTTGAAGGTAACAGGACTAGCACAACTCGAGCTCCTGAAGACGAATGTTACGTTAAAAGTTTTTAAAACAACAGCATGGTGATAATCTAGACGTGTGGAGATCCCATCTTCCAGCCGAACAGACGTTTTCTGGATATTTTCATCACTTTTTAACGAAACACTTTCATAAACTGATACCGTCAGATTAGAATCTATATGTGCAGCGCTGCAAAATTCCTAACGGACAAAAAGTTCCAAAATACGAAGAACGTACTCAGCAGAATTTTTACAAAATCGTTTTTTCCGAAAAGTAGACCTTTTTGTAAATTATATTTTCCTAATAGACCAAGCACTTTTGTAACAAATGAAAATCCTGCGATACTTTTGCTGGAAAAACAATTTTTCTGAATGTGCTGAGGCAAAGGCGAAAAGTTGTTTTTCTAATAGCCCACGTCGAGTACATGCGAAATGTCATCCCAAGTCCTTCAATCCTGTAGAATGATGCAGGATGTACTCAAACTTAGAAAAACGAGGAAAATTGCCTTTAAAAGTTGTTTTTTCTATCATTAGATGGTTTTTAATCTCAATAAGAACCACTTCATCAGATAGAGTGTAATGAGTCGAATGCATATCCTGTTCTCGTGTGTTGACATGATTTTTTGGGAGAAAATAGGTCGCAGGCCAACGTTAGAAAATAATTTATCGAAAATGAAAGCAGCATTAATAGAAGCAATTGGCTATGTTAAATTATTTGTCAGTTCACACTCATACGAGTTATCAACAGTCTTCAGTCTATTCAGGTGATCTCCAACAAGGAAAACACTTACTGCCAAGTATACAGCGTGTAACAAAATTGATCATACATCTGTCGTAAAAAGTTTATGATGAATATTTCTCCCCCAAACAGAACCATCTGTAAGGCTCAGAGTTTCGCTAAAAATGTTGCAAACAGTCATTTTATTAGATTTTTAAAATTATTAAACAAAAAAGTATTTTCTCATGGAAATATATATTTTGTACGAGCAGTATTACAAAAAAATATCGATAAAAGGCGAAAAAAATGACTGTTCTGTATTTTGTTCCTTTTTCGCCGCTCTTTGGCTTAATATTCTGAAGTACATATGAGTCAAAAGAGCGAGAAAAACTGCACAAAATACACTCGTTTTGTCAGATTAAAACTAAAGTCTACTATCTAAAAAATTAGAAACTTCAACTGTATGATCAATTTTGTTGGACAAAAAAAATTATCCATTTCACTCTTTCTGGTCTAACATAATGACTATACGACGCACTTTCTATTTTAAGCAAATAAACTACAATAAATTTGCAACATTTTTAGCGAAACTCTGAGCCTTACAGATGGTTCTGTTTGGGGGAGAAATATTCATCATAAACTTTTTACGACAGATGTATGATCAATTCTGTTACACGCTGTATACTTGGCAGTAAGTGTTTTCCTTGTTGGAGATCACATGAATAGACTAAAGATCATTGATAACTCCTATGAGTGTGAACTGGCAAATAATTTAACATAGCCAATTGCTTCTATTAATGCTCCTTTCAGTTTTGATAAATTATTTTCTAACGTTGTCCTGCGACCTATCATTCGTTATAGCCGATGTCACGTTATACCTGCTGTTTTTGTGATCAAATTCGCTCTTTAACAGATATTTTCTTGCAAACATCGAAAGTCATTCATTGTGACACCAAGAGAACTTCACAAGACATGATATTAACCGTTGAGTTCTTGTTGTTGATTTCTAGTTCACAACAGACAGAAGTCGAACAATTTTGGATTATTCAGATTCCAGCACGTCTCTAGAATTTTAGGGGTAAGTCAGACGAAAATGTCTTAAATAATAAACTAAAGTGATTATGATTAAAACTCAATTTCTAATGATTTAGCGTATTTTTACAGCGTTCTGTACTAGAGAAAAAGTAAAAAGAGTTCAAAAATTGAAAATTTTGTACTTCATCATAGACCATATTATCCTGTTTTGTTCAGCAGTTCCATCATACTAATTGGAAACAGATAGGAAAATAATACACTTCTAAAGCAATGAAAAAGAGTTTTCTCTAATTTCCGAGATTTAAGCGTATGTTTCTATGTTTGCGCGCTACCCTTTATTACTTAAGCTACAATTTTTTCAAAAATTTACTTTTGTTATTTCTTGATAAACGTTTAAACATTTATTTCAATTTTTGTCTATCTGTTTCTGAGTCCCATTTTTTTATTATTTTATACCAGAAATGTCGTCTTCGCATTCAAAAAAAAACACAAACAAGCTATCGATGTCTGCTAGAAACAATTTTTCATCTAGAAGAAAAAATGACCTTGTATCGACGGTACCAGGTAAAAATGCCACATTTCCAGTTGAACACAATTCATTTAACAGCAATATTTATGAATTATTTGAACACATCCGAGCTTTGAAACCTATGAATAAAACAGCAATAAATTGTACACACGATGGTTGTGAAGAACAAACAGCACAAATGGAAAATTTTTTAGAAGAAACATTTGGAATGAAAAATACTCAACATTCTAATGAAGAATTAAAATATTTTATTCAAGATATTCAAGCATTTGAATTGGATAAACCAATAAAACATTTGGATAAAAAACAGATTGTAGAATTTCCATCAAAAGCAAATCCATTCTATCAGATGACTGTTGAAGAAATTCAGCAATGGCAAAAGACGTTTCATGTTTATGCAGCCGATGATGTATTTTTGGAAAAACATAATGGAAAAGATCATTTGAAAAAGGCATTAACAAAAGGAACACATAAGGGTATATATTTCATACATCTGAATTGATATTTGTTACAAAATATGATGTTTATTTTTACAGGTGATGAAGCATTTAATATGAAATTTGTCTGTCGTATTTCAAAAAATCCTATATTTATGGAATACGATGGTAAAGTGATCATTCGTAATACTCATGATTTATGGCCACATTATATTTCTTTGGTGACGGCAACGGCTATTAATTTAGCTGGCAGAGATCACGATTCAGACGATATTCAAAAATACATCTCAAATTGGAAATATGCGTTCGATTTAGATAAGCATGGACAATTAAAAACGTATTCTTACTCATACATTGACCGGTAAATAACATGAATACCTCCGTTTAACTGTACTTCCACAAATTATTTTCTCCTTAGGGATCAACCCTGGAGAGGTTTTACACAAATTGTTGATCGACATGGTCGCGATTTTCGATGGAATCAAACAAAATGTGATTTAGAACAGGATAAACTCTATGAAGATTTAGTGAAAATGGTTCGTTTAAGACTGCGCACATGCGATCTAGAGTGTATTCAAATTGTGATTGAAACAGGATTAGGCACCGGAATATTTAGTGGAGATGGTATTGGAATCGGAAACGAAGTAAGAACATTGTCAGCTAAAGCGATCAAACAGGTATGAAGAAAAGTAATTACTTAGACGTCAGATTTCGTATTCGGTGGTGTGTTCGAAGGTATTGGAGCAAGAAGGTCAGCAATTTCAAAATATCGAAGCCGTGATATTTGCATTACCTATCATGCCAAAAACAATTGGTGCTAATGATTCAATATCAATTAAGCATCATCAACCATCAGCTAATACACTTGATATATTTATTCAAGAATTTAATGGGTATACGGGAATAAAACCGGTGCTACTCATTGATCAAGATATGCATAAAATAGCTATTTGTTGTGCAAAATTAAATTTTCAAGTTAGCGAATTGAATTCAACTGACTCACACGGTAAATGATACTTTTTCAAAGAGTAACTCATATGTTAAAATATCATCCTCTAACTGTTTAAGGAATATTTGGTGGCTATTGGCAAAATCGTGGACCCGGTACACAAGAAAAACTCGTCTTCTCGACTGCCGGTCTGCTAACGCAACATCATATTGTCAATCATCATGTACATGACACAAAGAATTATCATTTAATCTCTGTTAACGCAGCAGTATATCAGTATTCGCCAAAAAATAAATGTCCAGTACTCTTTGATCACCATGAGAATAGTGGATCAAGTAAAAACCATATCTATAATAAGTCTCATATGCATTCAAATGACATTACACCACCAGCAGCTGTCATTCCGATGGTACCTCC